TATCTGTAGATAACTATCGGCCTTTAGAGGATAATAAATCAAATGATCTAATAATTTCCAAAGTTCTCTCATATGACAGAACTCTTGTTCTCACCTGGGATATAGAAACATATAGTGGACGTAAAATGGGAGATTTACCTGATGCAAGAAATGAAGAGGATCAAGTATTTATGATTTGTATGACAGTTCATTGGAAAGATGATCCCAATCCACTGTTGCAAATATGTTTAGTTGATGTAGAGACGGAACCAGATCCCAACTGGATCACAATAATATGTGGAAATCAGATCAATTTACTGAAGGCATTTGCATTATGTTGGAAATATTTAGCTCCCGATATACAGATAGGTTTTAATGATTCCCAGTATGATTGGATTTTTGTTATAGAGAAAGCTAAAAGTTTAGGCATACTTGAATGGATGTTTAATCATATGTCACCCAACTCATCCAACATTGAAGAAATTATAAAATGGAAATATCGAAGAAGTGAGATAAAGATAGATGATGAAAAATTTTATTCGAAGTATCTCAAAATCCCAGGGTGTATACCTATTGATGTTCGTGCTTGTTTCAAAAAGTTATACTTAAAATCAGAAGCAAGTTCACTGAAATATTATTTGGAAAAATGTGGATTGGGTAACAAGGCGGATATGCCAATAACTACTATGAACAAAATATATGAAGATGCAATACTTCACCCCTCTGATACATCGGCTAAAAATATGTGCAAAGTTGCAAATTATTGTGTTATAGATGCACAGCGATGCCAAGAGCTTATGGTTAAGCATAATGTAATTAATGACTATAGGGAAGTATCATCCATTGCATATGTGTCTCTTTCTGATTCTCATTATTTTGCGGGGGTATGAAAGTATGTAATCTTTTGGGAGCTGAAGCTTGGAGCAGTAATATGTTGTGTAGTATGATTGCTTCAGAAAATACAGAATCTGGTAAATACCCAGGGGCTTATGTTATTGCACCGATAAAAGGTCTCGAAAACAAACGCCCAGTAACAGGCTTAGATTTTGCTTCCTTATATCCAAGTCTTATGATGACTTACAACCTCTCACCCGATAAGATTATACTATCTCGTGGAGAGGCGATAAATGCACTACGTAGTGGGAAGAAACTTCACAAGATTGAGTTTTCATTTAATGATCGAACTATAGAAGCTTGGTCTATTCACCACAATAATATACCTGAAGAAAAGGGTTTATATGCTAGGGTGTTGGAAAATCTATTTAATAAACGAAAGAAGATGAAAGAATGCCTTAAGGGATTAGATGAGAAAAGTTTCGAATATAGTTGCTTAGACTCAAAACAAAAGGCAGTAAAATTATATATGAATACATTTTATGGTGAGGCAGGTAATAATCTCTCTCCATTCTATCAACTTCAGTTAGCGGGTGGAGTTACTTCTGCTGGACGACGTAATATTAAATTTGTTAGAAAATTTGTTGAAGATAAAGGATTTGGCGTTAAATATGGAGATACCGATTCTTTATACCTCACATGCCCAGGAGAGTGTTTTCAGGAATGTGATCAAAAATATAAATTGGATCAACTCTCACGAGAAGAGTACTGGGAAGAAATGGTAAAAATCTCTATAGAAGTAATGAAGAACCTCAGTAATGAAGTAAATACAGAGCTTGAAAAGGATAATGGAACACCTTATCTTAATATGGCATATGAGGAGGTCTTATTTCCCGTAGTATTTACAGGAAAGAAAAAATACTATGGTCTTGAGCATAAAAAGGAGCCAAATTTCAATCCAGGTGAACTTTTCATTAAAGGAGTGGATATCGTAAAAAGAGGGCAATCTAAGCTCTTCCGTGATGTAGGTAAGGAAATTATGAATAGAACTTTGAAAGTCAATAATGGGGAAACGATGCATCGGATTGTTGAAAAGGTTCTTTGGGAAAATGTAGAAAAACTTTTCAAGTTAGATTATGATGAATTTATCCAGACATGTATATGGAGACCTAAAAAGGAGGGTAAGCAGGGAAATATTTCTGTAGAACAGTTTGTTTCACAGATGGGGGCTAGATATGGTTGCGAGGTATTGGAAAATCAACAGCTTATAAAGAAGGGTTTACCTGTCAATGAGTATTTATATAAAGTTCCCAAACCTGGTGAACGATTTAGTTACATTGTAGTAGTACCTGAAGAGATTTATGATAATTGTGGAAAAAAAATATCACAGAAAAAAGGGGACTGTATGGAATATCCAGATGTTGTAAAAAGGTTTAACAAGAAAATAAATATTGATTATTATACTGAGAGTTTATTTGCTCTTTGTGCCCGTTTTATAAATTATGATGATAAATACCAACCATCACCTGAATCTTTGGCAAAAGCCTTGAATCGTAAAAAGAAATCAAAGGAGAAGAAATTGAAAAATTTTAAGGATTTATTGCAAAGCAATGACTCTCCGAGTCTAGATGAAGATGAAATAGCAAAAATTAAAGATGGAGAGTCACAGAAGTTGGCTAAAAAATGGCTCAAAAATTATATCAAAGATTTACGTGATGCACCGAAAAAAGATGAAGCCATTATCTCCCATTTATGGAAAGATGCTATTATACATGCCGAAAAATTGTGCTCTATTATGAATATTAGCAAAGCGGGTATAACTAGGCCTTCTACTTCAGGCGCTTCTACTTGGTATAATAATTATCTTAATGCATTAGATAAAATTGCAGACTCCATTCGTTTGAAATTATCAGATCTACTTTTAGAATTGTCTAAGCTAAATGTCGAATATAGAAATGGGTTATATAAATTAATTACACAGGCGCAAAAACGTAAACCCAAAATTACAATTCTGGAACAATATATACTTCTATATGATTTGGGATCAGAGTGTCGAGAATTAATAGATTTCCGGAATACATTGCATAGGGTGGTTGGCCTTGAAATTACCCGGCTTCAAGCATTATCAATCACATATGGCAGTAAAAAAGATGACCCATCAGACATCGATGATATCATTGACCTATATTGTTAAGTATTCTTAGCTAAGATCACCACAACCCACTAAGATACTTATATATTATTAATAATATTTTTTTCGTACATAAATATTATCCAAGTTTAAATAGATAATTCCTAATACCTAGCCCACACATCCTGCAACTGCTCACTTTTCCTCTTCAATCCCCATGTACGTCTCAATACCACGAACCACATAACTGCGATAATTAATATAATAAGAAAAATATATGCTGATAGCTGTGACATCAAAGAGGGGGTATAATTTTCCCGTTGTGCAAGGTGTGGATTCACATTCTTTATCTCTTGAACTGGTAATATATCTTTACTAATTTCGCTAATGATAGTTTCCTCATTTATCTTAGAGCTTATCTCAGTATCGACTTTTAATGGTTCAGTAATCTCGTCATGCCTCTTTGAGGCGCTTAAAGGCCTAGTATGATCCGAGATATTACCATCGATTTTTCCAGCTTGAATAGACTCAAGTGATCTAATTTTCTTGGAATTTATATTGTTATCGGCTTTAAAACTTGCAAGAGAAATATCTTTGCTAGCATTTTTAATCTGCAGACGTTTAGTCTCAGCAATAAGCTCCAGATCATGGGCACGTAAATTCTGAATCGCAGTATTGGATTCATCTACTGTCTGACTCCATTTTTTTCTCTCCTGTTCCCAACCTTTCCGTTCACGATCAAACCCCTGATCTTGCTTTATGCACCTGTCTTGTAATTTTTTATTACAAGAATTTAATCCAGATATAACTTTTACAATATGAGATTCTTTATCTTGCACATTGGCCATATATTTTGGCTAAACTATGTGTAATAGAAATAAGATAAATCATAAAATTTCTGATTATTAGAGAATATCCAAAAGATTTCGATTAAATAAAACATACCTTTTACCTGAAACCATTTGTGAAATAATAAATAGTAGAGGTATGCAAAATGCAATATCGATTTTAGCTAAAAAGTATCACATATCTTATACATCTATCCATGATATATGGAAATTTGTGGATATGATAAATAATTAGTACAAATGTTTATACATATTAAAAAAAAAAATAAATATTCTGAAACATATACAAACATTTTGAAACATATACAAACATTTTGAAACATCTCGAAACATTTCGAAACTTTTCTTTATTTTTAATAGCTATAAACAATAGAAAATTTCTGATATGGGTCGTATTCATAAAGAATATTATAGCGCTAATGCGAGATTTTTATCAGTTGAGGCAATCAAAGATATTAAAACATCACCCGGTAGAGTACCTGATGCTATAAATTCTATGGCAAAAAAATATCGTATATCCTATGTTCGAGCCAAAGATTATATTGAAAATCGGGAGTGTAAACAACAAATGATATACTCTCATTCATCTCAACCATCTATACTTGTAAATGATTACTTGCCAAACACTGAAATCCCTGGACAAAATATAAATAATGATTTCCATCTCGATTCTCAATCGCAAGACACCAAAATAACTTTGCATAGCTCTGCTGATATTCCAGATAAACAGACGAAAAAGAGGCGATCGAAGTCCAAATCTGTACGAATTTCTGATCCATCCACTAATAGTGATAGCCAACTTGAAAAGGTGTTAAAGGAGGGAGAGGAGCTAATAAAAAGTTCAGATCATATATTAAATAGTCACCCTGTGTCTACCTCCAGTAATTTTTAATCGGTTTTCCTTTTATTCATAGTTTCATATTTTGATTGTAAAAGTCTGTTACGAATATTAAGCTCAGTAATGATTTTGATACCCCTCTCACAATTTACGCATTTTTTTTTAACTCTGTACCTGGCTCTTCAGAAATAGAAGGAATTGCATCAACATGGTGTACCTCAAGCTCATTTTCAACTCTATGCATAGTAACTGGGATGATGAAATCTTTTCCATTGCAATGAAGCTTCAT